CTCAGCCTCCCAAGTAGCTGGGACTACAGGCATGCACCACCATGCTCGGCTAATTTTTTCTATATATTTTTAGTTGGCCGATTAATTTCTTTCTAATTTTAGTAGAGGCGGGGTCTCGCTCTTGCTCAGGCTGGTCTCGAACTCCTGAGCTCAAACAATCCCCCCGCCTCGGCCTTCCAGAGTGCTAGGATTACAGGCGTGAACCACCGCGCCTGGCCTCAATCAGTATTTCTGAATGACACAGCAGGGCTGGTAGGCATCTCCATGGTTATACCAATTGTTGACCATAATCAACATTACCATGTTTTGCCTATTACCTCTGGATACAGGGATCAACCACAGTATAAGAGGGACCAGGGACCCCTGGGGAAAGAGCCCGATGGGAGAGTCAGGACTCATGGAGTTAGGAGCAAGAAATGAATAAGGGCCGTACTGGTACAGCCTCAAGAGTCCCAGGAGTCGGCCGAGAGGTAGGCACTGGGGTATACCATTCCCGGGGGGCAGGACAAGCTGGTGGGATGGAGGAAGGAGGCTGCAAAGCCTCCCTCCCACCCACCAGCGCACCCACGCCCTCAGCCCTGGCTGACCTCCGATGTAGGCCACAGAGAAGCCCCTGCGGGTGGTGCTGCGGTCCGTGTGCAGCAGGAGCAGGAGCTGGTTGTGGCTTGAGGTGACGGGTGGCGGCAGGTGGTGGCCACACCAATTCCCTAGCAGGGGTGCCTCCTCACTGGCCCCGTCAAAGGCCGCCAGGTGGTCAAAGTCACAGGTCCTGGTCAGGCTGTTGGGCTCCTCCAGGTCCATGTCTAGGAAGAATACCTTAACCCGGTAGCCGGGAGGCAGGCGGATGGTCCAGTGGCACCGGATGTTGTTGGGGTAGGAGCTGGGGTACTGTGGGCTGGAGAAGTTGCCTCGCACAGCCACGTACACCTCCTGGCATTCTCCTGGGTGGGCGAGGGCGGGGTGGAAGGAGCAACGGTGAGGAGGGGCAGAAGGGAGAAGTCACCCTCTGCAGTTACAGCTGAGGCCACGGGCACTACGGGGGTCCTAAAGCCACTGATAGTTTGTGGGCACATGGCCAGCACCCCAGACCGCTGATCCCGAAGCTGACTTTCAACTGAAACTAGCTGAGAGCTGGGAACCTCATCTCAATTGACAACTCCCTTCAAGAGTGTTAGGAATTCAATAATAACACCTAACACTGTCCTCAGAGCTAACCCCGAACGCCCTGGCTTGACGGACAATGAAGTTCATGGCCTGGCCTCTCCCCTTTTTGGTTGCCCCACCCACCCCTGCACTGCCGCTTTACCAAACATCTCCTGGTGCTATGAGCACACCAAACACGCTCTGTCCTCCATGCCTTGCACATGCTGTTCCTCCTGCTAGGAACACCCTTCCCTTCCTTCTGCCTCTGGCTAACTCCTTCAAGGCACTGCTCAATTCTCTCCTCCTCTAAGTGGTCGTCCATGCTTCTTACTCTTAGACTGCACAGATAGCAATGGGCTCTCCTTGTTGGTTTCCTCATCCATCTCCCCCATTAGACTTTGAACTCCCGGTGAGTTCATTCATTCATTCGTACAAATAGTAATTGAGTACCTACTAGGCGCCAGGTACAAAGATAAGCCCATAAAGAACTCACAGTCGGGCAGGGGAGATTAACATGCAAACCACATACAGAAGTGGTAAATGTTAGAACACACTGTGAACAAGGCTTCTAACAGGAGTCAAAGGGAGGGATTAATTCTGAGTGAATCAAGAAGTCTTCGCAGAGGAGGTGACATGTTTATGCCTTGGCACTGGCCAGGCAGGGAGAGTGCAGAAAGCCCAAGGCCCTTGGGGGCAGGAAATTGTGACCCCACAGTGTAATGGGGAGGCAAGTGGAGCCACAGCCCCTCCTACCTGAGAAGTAGTAGGCCTTGAAGCCCCGGCCTCCAATGTTAAAGTCGGACTTGAAGACCACCTGCAGCTCGTGGCCCAGTGACACAAGGGTTGGGGGCCGGGTGCTGCCACAGTAGTGGTTCCCGCGGGCAGGGCCAGGCCCCCCAAGCACAGCCACATAGTCATAGGTGCATTCTTCATTGCCCTCCACCTGGAAGTCCACGAACACCAGCTTGATGGTGGCGGGGCCGGCAGCCCGGATCACCCAGCGGCATTCTACGTTGTTGGGGTAATTGTTGGGGTACTCAGGGCTGGTGAGGGCCCCCGACAGGCTGGTCAGGACACCACCACACACATCTGTAAGAGAGCACACTTGAACTGACCTTCCTCTCTCCCTGCGGCTCCTGACCTCCTCGCTTGGGGACCAGACACCAGGCATCTCGTGGGAGCCTCACTGCCATCCGCTGAGCACTTGCCGAGTGGCAGGCACGTGCTAGCATTCAGCACCTGAGCCATCCTTTAAAATCTGCCTGGTAACCCCACAAGGGACTGGCTGTTGTTTCTTCGATTTTACAGTGGAGAAAATGGAGGTGCAGAGAAGCTGTCTGAGTTTGGGTTTGCCCAGGGAGACCCTGAGACAAGGATTTGAGTGCAAGGAGCTTACTTGGGAGATCCAGGGGACCCCAGGTGGGGAGTGAGAGAGTGAGACAGGGAAGGAGAGGTGTGGCCAAGCCAGCTACTGAGCCCTGCTGGGGACATGTCAAGCACAGACGTCAGAGTGGCATCATCCCAGGTGTGAGGGACAGTCCAGGCTGAGGGCTGCTGGGGGCTGAGGGTGACCTGCTGAGACTTCAGAGAAAAATCCTCCAACAAAGAGATGTGAGGTTGGTGGGAGCACACTGCAGTGGCAAGGCCCCAGGGATGTGGTCAGGGCCCCGAGAGCAGGTCACCTGGCTGGTAACTGGGAAAGTGGGATCTGAACCAAGGAAGACTAACTGTAGAGCACTGTGTAGCCTCTGCAAATGACCCTTGTGACCCTCGCTTTCCACTGCTACCAGGCCAGTGGGGCACAGAGGCCGGGGGGCTTGAGTTCAGGAATGTGACCAAACCTCCCTAACAGACGAGGAAACCGAGACCGAGAGAGAGGATCTGATGAAGTAGAGGTTGGTGTGACATCTGAAGATAAGTGGCCTCCTCGCTCTGCCTTATATTAGCTATGTGACCCTAGGCAAGTAACCCAGCCTCTCTGAGCTTCATGGGAACATGAGAAATTATAAGACCTACGCAGCCTGATCCACTGAGCTCAGACTCACGAGGAGGCTGAGAAGATGCTGCCGAAAGTGATTGGGGGCCAGCTTGGACAACGCAACAATGAGGCAGGGGACTTGCTGGCAGTCACCAGCAGGGCGGGTGCACTCAGGACTCCAGAATCTCACCCCGTGGCATGGCTGTGTGACCGGAGCTCTGTACTGGGCATCTAGGGACTTGGCCTCTTGTCCCAGCACTGGCCCAGCTGTGTGACCTTACAAAGGCACATTCCCTCTCTGGGTCTCAGATTTGTCGTTTGTGAAAGGAGAGGGCAGATTTAGACAGTCTGCGAGATCCCTTCCAACACCGCCAGCTTTAGCAGAGGCTTCCAACTGTGCTCTGGGGCTCCCCAGCGGACACCCTGGCGCACCTGCTGACATCTGGGGCAAATTGCATTCTGACGCGGTAGTTCAAACTATCCTTTAATGTAATTAAACGACAGCACCCGCAGTCACATATCTTACGTGTAAAAATTTAACTCATTGGAGACCATCGATATTGACTTGTGTTTTCAGTGGTTAGCTTATAAGAAGCAAATGTTAAAAATATAAACTTACAAAATAAATGCATACCGCTAAAACATCGCTGTTACCTCTTTTGTATATCAGGGATTAATGTAAGGTTCCGTTTGATATAAGGGTATTTCTATTTTTTTAAATGTTGGAAAACATGGCCTATGATATTATGACTTTGATATCCTGACATTCTAAAAATCTAAGGGTCTAAAATTCCAAAAGCATGATCAGATCAGCCTATGATTCTTGTGTTTTTAGCATTCTACAATTCTATGCTTCTAAATGTAGCAGGGACCAGCTGTCCCACCTGAGTCCCCCAGGATTGCTGTTGGTGGGCTCTGTGGACCAGGAGCCTCTGTGGCTGTCCACTGTTTGAGCTGACATGATTAAGGCCTTCGGTTTGGGCTTTGGGAGGAAAGAGGAGGTTTGCATCTGTGCACAGAAGCCTGAGGACAAGGAGGAGTGAGATAAGGAGAAGGGCAAGAGGAGCAAGGCCTCTGTTCCCTCCACTAGACTGAGAAGCAGGTGTCAAGCCTGGTTGAGGGAGAGAGGGAGGGGTTAGGGACCCATGATATAAGAGTCACCAGCTCCACCCACACCCTCGTTAAAGGATGTGGGCGGGGATTCCTGCGCTGCAAAGGAGTGAGATGCTGCGGAAAGCAGTAGTAGCAGCAGCAGCGGGGGCAGCAATGGTGTCCTCCCCTGGGGCCTGATGCCGTGACATGGGGCAAGAAGGACAAGGGTAGAAGAGTGTGAGAGGCCTTGTTCCTGAACACGGTGAGACCCTCTGGGGGCCCCAGGAGAAATGCACAAGATTACAAGAGTGGTCTTGGACCTTGAGGAAGCTGCCTTTGCCCCATAAGCTGTCCCTGAGAGCAGGGCCATGCAAGTTCCTTCCAGAGCGGCCTGCGCGCTGAGATGCCAGGAGCTTGCAGGTCTCACCTGGCCCCACTGCTCCCCTCCCACCTCCACCCCAGGGCCAGCCTCTCCACTGCCAAGTCCCTCCTTGACCTTTCTTGTAGCCCGCAGAAAAGCCGCGGCTGGCCACGTGCTTATCCGAGTGGAAGACGACAGACATGACATGCCAGGAGGAGGTGAAGGGCGGCGGGGGCACCTGGCCACAGAATCTCCCCAGCAGGTTGCCCTTGTCCGCCGAGGCCCCGTTGTAGATCTCCAGGAAGTCGAAGTCGCAGGTGTCATGGTACTCCAGGTCAAAGTCATGAAAGGTAAGCAGCACAGAGGACCCCTCAGCCACTACGATCAGCCAGTTGCACTCCGTGTTGTAGGGGTATAGTCTAGGGAAGTTGGGGCTGGAGAAGTTTCCAGAAGGTGCCGAGAGCACACCCCCACATTTGACACCTGGGGCAAGAGAGAAGGATGGTTCGGAGTGAGTGCTGGGGTCTTGGGCACCTGTGGCAAGGCCACACAGCTGGGTCTCCGGGACGGGGTGAGAGAGCACAAGGCCATGGCCCTGAATCAATTCATTTATTTTTTTTAATTTGTTCATGCATTTACTTATTCTTCAAGTGCTTATCAAGCATTCTTTTACTCATTCAACAAATATTGGTTGAGTGCTAGGCACTGCTCTAGGTGTTGGGGTTACAGAGTGTTGCAAAACACTCAAAGCTTCCTGCCCTCATGGAACTTAACATTCTGGTGGGGAAGACAGACGGTAAACACAGTAGATAAAATAGCAAATAAAATAGTGATAAGTGCTATGGAGAAAAAGCAAGCAGGGAAAGGAAATAGGAAGAGTTGGGGTTGGGCCTTTTATTTTGTTTTGTTTTATTTTATTTTATTTTATTTTGAGTCAGGGTCTCGCTCTGTCACCCAGGCTAAAGTGCAGTGGCACAATCATAGCTCACCGCAACCTCCAACTCCTGGGCTTATGCAAAGGGATCTTCCAGCCTCGGTCACCCAAGTAGCTAGAACTACAGGTGTGCACCACCATGCCCAGCTACTTTTTAAATTTTTTGTGGAGACAAAAAGTTATGTTGCCCAGGCTGGTCTTGAACTCCTAGACTCAAGCAATCCTCCTGCCTCAGCTTCCCAAAGTGCTGGAATTAGAGGTGTGAGCCACTGCACCTGGCTTGGGCCTATAATTTTAGATAAAACATTACTATATGCTAGGCTCCAGATATGTGCGGTAGGGAATTTAAAGATTAATAATAATAGTAACCTCTGAGTGAAAATGTACACAGTCTATTGCAATGTTAAAAGGACATTTTTATATGTGCATAGTTGCTTGTATTTAACACAAGAAAACAATAGAAGGAAACTAATAAGAATAATTCTCTGTCAGGGAAGTAGTAAAAAGAGGAGAGGAAGCTAGCGTGACTGCTGGGCCTCTTTAAATGTGCCTTTGACTTTGTAATCACATAAAATAATTTTATAGAATTTTAAAAGATCAAAATAAATTTAAAGTAACCCCTAAATATCCAAAACTAAAACAAATAAACGTAACTGTTTATCAAGTTGGAGGCACAGTTACATGGGGAAAAATGATTTCAAATGACTTTGAAATATGTTTTTTTTTTTTTTTTTTGAGACAGAGTCTCACTCTGTTGCCTGGGCTAGAGTGCTGTGGCGTCATCCTAGCTCACAGCAACCTCAAACTCCTGGGCTCAAGCGATCCTCCTGCCTCAGTCTCCCGAGTAGCTGGGACTACAGGCACACGCCACCATGCCTGGCTAATTTTTTCTATTTTTAGTTATTTGGACAATTTTTTTTCTATTTTTATTAGAGACGGGGCCTCGCTCTTGCTCAGGCTGGTCTCGAGCTCCTGAGCTCAAACGATCCACCCGCCTCAGCCTCCCAGAGTGCTAGGATTACAGGCGTGAGCCACTCGGCCTGGCCAGAAATATGGTTTTTTTTTGACTGTGCATTCCTAGTAGGGTTTATCTCAAGGACAAAATGAACTGCAAAGAAATCTTAAACTATATTCAGCTCACTATTAGTAATAATATTAAATATTGTTATTTTGAAAGTACCATATATATTAAAATAAAGCAAATAAGTATGTTAATGTCAATAGAAATCAAGATTTTCAGTGCAAGAGAGACAAATATAAGTAAAACCCTTGTGATCCTTAATTTGAATTCAAAGTATCAATACGGACTTGATTGATTTTTATTTCTAAAAAAAATTTAGTCCCTAGCTCTTGTTTACTAGAAAGACCTAGAAGGAATGATATCCCAGCAGCATTTTACATCCCTAGGCTTTAGGATTATTCTGTCCAGCTAAAATGAACCAGGGCTCCTGAGAGAAATGGCTGGTACCAGGTCTAGGACAGGAAATACACGCAATATACTTAGATATCTTGCCATGCCAGACAGCAAAGAAGCTGCCAAAGACTGCTGGGATTGTGTCAAAAGACACAGGAACCTACTTGAAGGGCTGGCTAAAGAAGGTACAATCTGAGCATCAAAAAAGAGTAGTGATTGCAGTGGATTGCAACACATCAAATATTTTTATAAAAACTTGTGAATTCATAATGCAACTCAAAGAAATTAAAAAGGAACTCATTGGTTTCTTGGAGAGGTTGCTGGGGCACTGACTCATTTTTTTTTTTTGAAAATTGGTTAATAGAAAGGAAAAGAAATTAAACATCTACTTGGCCTTTCTTGTATGGACTGGATTTCCGGATAACCAAATAGCTGGTGAGAGAAAGTGGTTATTTACAGAAGATTTCAGAAAGAATAACAGCATTAGAAAATCATAATTTTGCAAACCCTAATGAAATAGTGGATCTAGACAACATCCTCAAAGTCTGTTCTAATCACTGAGTAAAAAGTTAATGAGAGGTAAAAGCCTAGATGGCTGGTATATAGGCATTCCCTGTACAATACTTTCAACTTAGCTGAATGTTTGAAAATTTTTATAATGAAACAAATACCCAAGAAGTTAACTTAATAGGGAATTTTATAACAGATAGATCAGGCTGACAAGCCCTGAACCCACAGATGAATCTTAGCATCAAAGTGGAGCACAGGTGCCCTCCTGATGTGATGTACACACGCCACCTATAAAGTCTTCTCAAAAAAAAAGGAAGCTGAATCTCATGGTCTCTGGATGTGTGTACAAGCCAGAGTGAACATGGAAGTTAGAGAACAGTTTAAATGACACTGTAGGCCGGGCGCGGTGGCTCATGCCTGTAATCCTAGCACTCTGGGAGGCCGAGGCGGGTGGATCGCGCTGGAGCTTCACCAATAAATGATGGGGGGTGGGGAGGAGGCACAACTCTTACATTAAAAGAGTCAAATATCAACCAAATGCAGTGTATGGACTTGTTTGGATTCTGATTTGAACAAACCAACTGTAAAAAGATTTTTTTTTGCATTAATAATTGGGGAAAATGGAACATGGACTGAGAGTAGATAAAATTAAGGAATTATTATACCATTATAACGGTACTGGGGTTATATATAGTTTTATGTCTTTCTGTGTTAGGGATATATCCTGACATATTTATGGGTGAAATATTAACAATATGACATCTGAGATTGGCTTTAGACTTCTCCACGCTCCCCCAGTGGGGATGGGTGGGATAGAAGAAACCTGACAGGCAGAATGTTGGTCATGGTTGAAGATGGTTATGGAGACACAGGGATTCATGATACTATTTTCCCTACTTTGTGTATGTTTGAAATTTTCCATAATTAAAAGCCTTAAAAAGTAGCCAGCACATTCTTGGTCACCTTCTCAGCGAGGCCGTCCCTAGCCACCCTGCTTACAGCTGAGGCCCTTTCCCCACCCCTGGATTCCGTCTTTCCCCTTAGTGCTGTATTTTTCTCCGTAAGCATTCATCACCTCCTGACATGCCGTTTATGTGACTTGTTTATTTGGTTCATTGTCAGTCTCCCTCCACAAAAACGTAAGCTCTATGAGAGCGAGGGGTTTGGTCTGTTTTGTGTCCTGCTGCATCCCCAGCACCTGGCACAAACAGACGCTCAGGGTATACTTGCTACGTGAATGAATGAGTGAATGAGTGAATGATCTGATGGAATCCTTACGACAGCCCATGAAATAGGCAAGTCAGGTGCTATTGACTCATTTCACAGATGAGAAAACCGAGCCCCAGAAAGGGAAGTTACTTGCCATGGCTGACATCTATTGCTTTGGTCCGCCCAGCACCCCTTCTTCCACCTCCTGCAACAACACACCCTTCTTTTAGACACTGCTCCCCTCCCTTCCCTCCATGTGGTAACCCTCTCTCCTCCTCCCTGCCCCAGGGTGGACGCATGACTCTAGCAGGCAGTTCTGGGGCTCCCACCACCTCCACATGACTGATTCGCAGGGTGGGTGTGTGCTCCGGGCCGGGCCAGAATGTCTGGACGGGAATCCTTTCCCTCCTGGTCCCTAGGGCGAGAGTGGGGGCCCTCAGTGGGACTGTGCTCGGAGCTTATGGACAAATCCTGTCCTCGGACTGGAAGAACAATGTGAAAAGTGGAAACGACCCTGGTGCCAAGAGTCCCTGGCTGCCAGGATCCCTGAGCCCAGCTCGGTACACTCCTGCCCCCGCCGCCTACAGAGCCAATGCATTCCTCTTTTTGCTGAAACGCATCCAGGTTGGGTTTCACTTGCAACCAAAGTCATCCTGAAGAATACACTTGACTAGAGTCCCTGTAAGAGAAGACGCTTTGGCCAAACATGTGCCCTGCACCTGTCCTGTGCCGATTCAGGATGGCCCCCTCCCAGGAGAGCTCGCAGTGGGGTGGGGGAGGGGAGTCAGGCAAATGAGACGAAGCCACACAGTGTGGTTGTGCTGAGGCCACACGGGGGCTCTGGGGTCCGGGGCAGGGAAGCCAGCCTTCATGGGGCCAGTGTTAGGGAAGGGGTAAGACTCACAGAGGAGGTGATATTTGAGTTTGACTAGGATGAATGAGGTGGTTTCATCGGTTGGGGAAGATCTGGGGGCAGAAAATGGCGTGGACAAGGCTCAGACACACGACGGCTTAGCCTCCGTGACCTCAGGCACGCATCTGTGAGGGGGTGATGACGCCTGTGAGCTGCGGCTGTGAACGCTGACAGGGTAAAGGCTGGGCAAAGGCCGCGCAGATGCACACCTGGGTCAGGTTATCGACTCCCCGCCCGGCCCCTGCGGCAGGACAGGGCAGGAATGGCGTCTTATCCGTGCCTTTATGGCAAGAGGACAAAGGGATCTTCTGTCCAGAGACTGTCCTTGTCCTTCCAGGCCCTGCCCATGGGGCAGGAAAAGCTGCGAGAGCGTTAGAGCAGAGCTCCTCAGCCCAGCCGCCCGGCACCAGCACAGGCTGAGGCCTCGTCCACTGCGACCTGGCCAGGCACGCTGACCCCAGGGTCACCCCAAGGCTACTGAAGCCCTGGTGGCTGGAATATAGGAACTGCCAGCTCCCCCCACCACCCAGGCATGGGTTGAGACCCTGCGTGCCCATCCCCTCTCTGCCAGCGACCGGGTGACCGGTGAGTTACATACGATTCCTCCCTGAGCCCCACTTAAGCCTGCAGGAAGTGAGACACTGATGACTGTTTGCCGAGCCCCCACGTACGTGCATGCCCCTTGTAGGAGGGGGAATGACATCACCCCAGCTTCACAGACAGGCACACATCGCTCAGGTCAGAGCAGCGCACAGCCACCTGGGACCACAGTGCAGGTGGGAGCTCTAGGAGCCCCAGTGAAGGCATCTCTGAGGTTGTTGGAGGGATGTGGAAGGCTTCTTGGAGGAGGCGGCACTTCATCTGAGCTCGAAGGATGAGCCAGAGGTTCTCAGGTGGAAAAAGAGAAACGAGACCTTCCAGGCAGAGGGGCAAGCAGGGCTTAAGATCCCTGAGGGCGAGGCATCTCCGGAAAGGGCTGCAATTCCCCTGCCAGAGCATGGGAAGCCCAAGGGATGTGGGAAACTGAGGCTGACATGGAAATTGGGGCCAGGACTCAGAGGGGATTGAATGCCATAATAAGGAACTTTGATTTCACTTGGCTGGCAGTGGGAAGGACAGCAGGCTCTCAGGAGGAAAATAAAGACTCCTTCGCCTGGCAATAAACCTTTAATAGTTGTCTGGACTATTCCCTTCACCCCCGGGAGCCATGCAGCCTTGGACAGGTGACTTAACACCTCTAGCTCTTGGATTCGTCATCTGTAAAGTGGGGGACTAATGTCTCCTTTGAAGTTTGTTGTAAAGATTGAATGCAATCATATATGTAAAACATCCAGCACGCAGCAGGCACTCAACAAATATTGTCTTCGCCTATCTCAGAAACAAATGCATTCTCAACTCAGCCAACTCCCCTGAAAGGGGCTCCTGCTTCCAGTCTTCCCACACAGAAACCTCCCGGGACCCTGGCGGCCCTCCCCTCCCCTCCCCTCTCCCCTCCCGCCAGGTCCTGTCTGTCCCAGGAGCACCTACCTTCCATGGCTTGGGCCCTGGGGCCTGGGCCCAGCAGGGCCACTGCCAGCAGCAGACAGGACCCCAGCTGTGCCAGCATTTCCTCTCCGGGGCCCCCACAGGTCTGCAGAGCTTGGGCAGGCCCGGAGCTGAGGGTCTGCAGCAGGGGAAAGGGAGGTGAGGTGGAAAGGGCCTCCAAGTTAATGGTGGTGTGAATAATTCATCGGCCCCTAGAATTAGTAAGCTGATCTCCAGGTGCTTCCCTCATCCACTCTAAGGTGACGGATCCAGTGTCACCAGTTTTACACGTTCTGAGATCTGCACTGGCCACACGGTATCAGGAAGGGAGGCGAGAGGGGCTGGGAGGAAATTGGGTGGTGCAGAATGAGCATACATTTTGGGGCCAGGCAGATCTGGGATCGATTCAAGTTCAGCCTGTAACTTGCCGGACAACCTCGAACAAGTCATTTACCTCCTCTGGGTCTGGGTCTTCTCGTCTGTCCAATGGGGCTGCTCAGCCCCGCTGCTAGGGCTGTCGAGAAAATGAAGGAGATGACACAGGCGAAAGCCCACAGTAGGTGCTTGCTGCAGGTTTTTCTTGTCCCCACCCTCGAGGGAGCCGGAAGGAGTCTCAGCATAGTGGGACAGATGGGACTGCTTCCTTCAGACACGAGAATTTAGCTCGGAGGGAGAGGGAAGGAGTTTGTGGTGGACGGCTGTTGTGGACGGATGAGGGAAAAGTCTTTTTCGTGGAAGACTGCAACAGGAATAACAGAATTGGAAAATCGTATTGTGCGACTCCCGATGCAATTGTGGATCTGGGCCACTGTGCAAATTCTGGCCAAGAATAGGAAATGTTCGTCCGTTTACTGATCCCCAAGCTTGAGCATCACTATGCGCGGGGCCCTGAGCTAAGAGCTGGGGCTGCAGAAATGCCCCAGGGGCTCAATGTCCAACAGGAAGTAGCATCTTTCTTTTCCTCTGGAGTCTTTTGAGTTGGTCCAGTTCGGCCCAGCATGCGTTTCTAAGCTCCTTCTCTGTGCAGAGCCTGCTCCAGGCGTGGGGGCTTGGGGACAACATGGCACATTCCTGCCCTCCTAGGGAGGCACCTGGGCTCTGGTTTCTACAGACTAAGGTCTGAATCCTGGTTCTAGCCCTGCCTGGCTGTGGGAACTTGGGAAAGTAACCCAACCTGTCTGAGGCCAGCTCCCTGGGTTGTGAGATAGGAGCTATAGCGGCAGCCTGCAGTTTGCCGTGAGGGTGGGAAGTCTTAGCTGGCGCCTGGCACAGTGCATAGGAACATGTATGATTTTGATTTACCCTGGAAGAACCCAGACATCCATCTGCCAGAACACATGTTGCCTCTGGCCCACCCTTTTGTCAGGAGGTCCCCAGGGAGCCTTTGCCGCAGGCACAGGAGGCCACGCAGGTGTTCAGCAGAGAGAATTAGGAATGGCTGGGCCTGCAGGATTGGCTCGCCTGTTGGGCTTGATAGGAAAGAAAAGTTCTGCTATTCTGGGCAGCCTGAAGAGATGGGAGCTTTCATTAAACACCTACTGTGTGTATGAGAGAGGGGGCAGGGCGAGGGAGCCAACCCAGCGCTGCTGGGTGCCGGGCATGGCACAGGCGGCCTCACATAGCTCGCGTGGGTGTCACCTCCGGTTCTCACAGCACACATTACACCCCCCAATTGACAGACGAGGAAACGGAAGCACAAAGGGTTTGAGCCACTGTCTTGGGTGGAGTGTCTCACAAGAAGACTCCGTGACAAGTAGTTGTAGTTTATTTAGGACATCAGGAAACACGGTGGGGAGGTGAGGCAAGGATGGGAAAGAAGCCAGTTGAGAGTGTGTTGGTGAGCGGGTTGCCACCGTGGGTACATCCAGGGGCGGTGTGGACCATGCCCTAAGTTGTGCCGCCCGAGGGGCAGGAAGTCGTGTGCTTATCCACCAACTCCCAGCTGCCATTAGTTGAAGGCTGCTCCGAGGGTATCACCTCCCAGGCATTTCCAACCTGCACGTGCACGGCCCGGAGGCCCTGAGGCAGACAGTGCAGGGGTTGCGGCGGAAGCTGTCTGCTCGCACCGACTCAGCCACCACCCGTCATTCCTGTGTCTACTCCCTGGACTTGACATGCTCCAGAATCACCCGCCTCTGAAGTATTTGTCCCACTCCCTGAACAGCTGCCTCTCTTCCCGGCACCCTCATGCAGCCTTTCCAATCAGACCCCCTCTATGGAAGCCACCAGAATGGCCCTTGGGCCCCTCAAGACCCATAGTCCCCAAACTGCACTGATCACGGCCCCCAACACGGAGCTCGTCTCTCCTCTGGTGTTTCGGCATGACCAGCCCACAAAGCCAGCCATGTAGGAGCCCGCCTCGACTTCCCTCCCCTCCACGCCCACACCCAGTGGTCGCACTGGAGCCTGGTCACCGCCTCCGCCCCTGAAATGACTCCTGAACCCATCCCGACCCAAGCTCCGCACCCTCCGGCACTCCCACCGTAGCCTCCTTGTGGCCTGAGCGTCCTGCTCCGCCTGCTCCCTGCCCACCCCAAAGGCACTCTCTACTCTGACCTTTCTGTGCCATGGTCTCTCTGACCATGTCACGCCTCTGTTCAGGACGAAATCCAAAGTCCTCTGCTCGGCATTCAAGCCCCTCGGGTCACCTCCCCTCCTTGAGCTCCACACCCCGGCCCCGACATGTCTCTCACTTCCCTGCACATGTTGTGCCTGAGCCTGGATTGCCCTGCTTTCTGCCCCACGGGCCCTTGATGGACTCTTAACCTTCAGAACAGCTGTCACCTCCTCCAGGGAGTTGTCCTACCCCACCCCAAGCTGGAAGAGTCCCTCCTCGCTGGGCGCACCCCTAGCGAGGACAGGTGCACTCTGGCCGGCTGGTTTTTCTGAGAATACTCCTTGTCTTCTTGGGCTGTCATTCCAGTGCCGGGGTACAGGGCTTAGCCCAGAGCACATCCTGTCACTCATCTCTGTCCCCACTGTGTGCCCCTAGCACATCCTAAGCGCTCAGCAATCATTTATGGATTGAACTGCTCAAGGACGCACAGCTAGGAAGTCTCCTTGTCAATTCGAACCCATGTTCATCTGTATTCAAAGCCTGTGCTTCTAACCCTGAGTCCGTTTGGGGGACAAAATACCATTGGCTGGGTGGCTTATAAACAGAAATTTATTTCTCACTGTTCTGGAGGCTAGGAAGTCCAAGATCAAGGTGCTGGCAGATTCTGTTCTGGCGAGGGCGCATTTCTTGGTTCATAGATGGTGTCTTCTCTCTGTGTCCTCACCTCCAAAAGGCCCTACCTCCTAATCCCACCCCCTCGCAGGCTAGGATTTCAGCATATGAGTCTGGGGGGGACACACACATTCAGACCCGATGCAGCCGCCAGATGGTCTGGTGTAGACCAAACCACAGAGCGCCTAGAACCTAGACCACATCGGTTCAAATCACAACCCTGGTAGTTACAAGCTGTGTGACCTTGGACAAGCCACTTCATCTCTCCAGGCCTCCGTTCCTGCATCTGTGAAATGAGGAGGATGGCATCTACCTACCTGTCAGGCACTGTGAGGATTGACCAGGCCAACACCTGGGAAGTGTGGAGAGTGGTTGCAGCACGTGGGAAGTTGGGGATGCACGTTTTCCCTTTCCCTGCATTCCATTTGCACGGACTCCGGATGCTACGCTGACCTCAGGTCTTCTTGTACTTTCCTATTTAACCCATCTCTTCTTGAAGTCACCTCTGGGTGGGGCCTCCTGCTGCCTGGCTGCCCCTCCCTCCAATCAGCGGCCTGGCCCTGGCTTCTCTCCTGTCCCCAGGGCGGGTGGTGGAGAAGGAACAAAGGCTGCCTGCCTGCCAGAGTCATTAGTGAGTGCCTGAGCCACCCACAGGATGAGTCAACCCAGGGCACTTGGGTGCCTGCCAGTGCCCTGCTGTGCCAACTCCCACGGGCTGAGGACCCACCCTCAGACTTCCAGGGGGGTCTTTTGGCATGACATGAGCCTCCTCCTATGGCTGACCCTGCACCTCCCTGGAGCTAGTGGACACAGCGGTTCTCCCGACCCATAAATATCAAGATAGGTTCAGGTATCCAAGGAAATAGCATAACCAAATGATGATACATGTCACCCAGGGATAGGTGCCCATGTATGCACAGAGACAGAAACTGGCATGCACAGCATTGGTCCCCCTCCCTGGGGCGGCATCTGTCCCAGGAGCATACTCACAACCTTGTGGAGCTCATGCCCCTTGGGGGTACACACTGCATACTTCTGTGCATGTCTGTGTACTTCTGTAGCTGAGGGTGCACATCTACGGCTGGGGTTCTTTTCTAAGCCAGTCTTGCCTTCATATCTGCGTTCTATCACTCGTTCCTGGGTACAGGGATGGTGCCCAGGGACAGCAAGGGGGCTGCCTAATGTCTCCCTGTCCACAGAAGCCTGGGCTGACAAAAGGGGGTGTCAGAGGGCAGAGAGCAGAGGGGCCATTACACCCCTGGGGATTCCTGGCTGGGTCCCAGGAGCCACATCTCTCCCTAACAAGGCTCTGGAGACCTGAGAGTTTTCCATGAGCACGTGTCCTGTGACAGAGGCCAGGAGGCAGGGACCCTCAGGGAGAGTCCCCACTCTCTGCGCCCTGAGGTGCATGTTGCACCCCAGACCGCCTCTGTTGGAGCCCAATAGACAGTTGAAGGGTCAGCACAGTGTGTGTGCACGTGTGTGTGTATGTGTGTGTATGTGTGTGTGTGAGACAGAGTGCGTTGGGGGGGCTATATGACAGAGGAGGGGAAGGAGAAAAGGACAGGAATACAGGAGGCAGAGAGGAGAAGGGTCAAAGAGAAATGCGAAAGCAAGGGGTGAGGGGACGGGCTCCGACAGCGACAGCGGGAAGGCTGCTGCCGGTGGGCTGGGCTGCAGTGTGGGGTGCTGGAAGGTGGCTGGTGGGGTCCTGCTGGCTCCGTACACCCTGGAGCCACATCGCTGCCCCAGGGCGGGGACTTACTCAAGAGAAGGAGGCCACATCTCCTCCTCCTCTTTCCCCTCTGTGACTCTAAATTTCTCTCCCAGTCACTTCCTTTCCCAAAGGAGTG